TACACGTACCGTATGTTTAAAAAATAATCGAATTGACAATCTACGCAGAATATACGTTTCCTTAATTTATGGAATTTACTTTATCATCACATTACTTCTCATCATCGTCACTATTATTTTCTTGCTTTTAAAAAATTCATAAATATACATAACCTATAAAATTTCACAAACAAGATGGCGTCCCCAGAAAGGATAAGAAAATGAATCACGTTATTTTTCAGACATACTGTATACATGTATATTACCAGAATCCAACGTGGCATTCAGTGAAAATATTTTCGACGATATCGCGTTTATCCACACTATTAGCATACTTCCTTAGACGCGTACAATCGGTTAACGCTCTGATTAATAGGAAAATGATACACGGCTTTTGAAGCCACGTTTCGAAACAGTCATCTTTCCTTTCGATTCTTATTCGGAATATTTCTTTTTTTTCTTTTTATTTTCTCCATCCAGATTCCAAACAATCGAGGATCTTGTCCAAATTCATTTTTGACATCGTTCGAATTATTGTATAAATATTATAATTATAATTAAATTTATTTTATTTATTAAATAATTATAATTTATTATAATTATAATGAAAAAGAATTATATATCGTGCGGTATAAACTAAGTGGAAAGATGTTGATAAAAAAAATGATTTATTAATAAGAATACAAATTTGGATTTATTTTCTTTAAAACAGAAATTTTCAACAAAATAATGAATCGATAAATTATATTTTATTGTTTATTTTCGCTACAGAAAACTAATCAAAATAAAGAATTATTAATAATTATTGTGTGAAAATATATACTTTATCAATTATTACGTAGCAATTATTTTATAAACAAATAAAATATAAAATATTTATTGCAAATATATAATTCATATTATAGTAAATTATAAACATATTTAAATTAATTATTATTTTATGATATACATAAAATATAAGAATATATATTAATATACATGCCAAATTATGTGTAAAAGCAGCAATTATTAAATCAAAATAATTATTCTACAAGTAATTTTCTAAATTAATTTTTCTAAAATTATCATAAATTTGTTCTTCCTTTGTTGCAAAGTTCTTTTAAGAAGTAACGAGATGTACAATCAAAATATATTCTTATCAACTTTTTCACCATTATTTATTAAATTGATTACACGTGTCGTTAAAAAATGGAAAACACAAGACCAGCAACAATCTAGTTAGGAAGATAAAGCACAACTTTTAAGTAAGACCTAATAAGGGGAGAAATAACAGAATACAAGGAAACGTGCCACAATTTGCAACAAAAGTCACGTAGAAGCGCTTAAGGCTTCACAGTAGCATCTAGCCGTTCCTATGATCCCAACTATGTGCAATTACACCATAGATGTATATACCTGCTTGATTGAATTTCGACAATGGTATATCGATCCGCGTTAAAGTATATTAAACAGTATGGAAAGAAAATTAAAACGATGAAAATTCTAGAGAAATTTACTTTGAAAATAGTTTACTTAATTTAATTTGAAAATTAAATTGAAAACAAATATTTATTTAAATAAACTTTTCTTTTACGTATCATCATTGTATATCACATCTAATCTACATGATAATATAGATGCAATGTGTGATCTTTCGGCAAAACCTAACCTTACTTTAGTGATAAACAAACAGTATATAAAGCACGAGAATAGTTTTTTTTTATCTTTTAAAACTCACAACGTAAACTCTTTTTATTTTCAATGTTAAAATAATTTTATCATTTTACAAAAAGAAATATCTATTAATAGAAAAAACATTAATTTTGAATATATTGGAAAATAGAAGCGAATAGAAAAAATATCTTATACAAATATCTTAATTATCCTCACAATTTAGATATTGACACAAGAATTAATAATTTAATTAAACTCTAAAAAAATCATTAATTTTGCAACATTTTGCACTCGAGTCAATCGATCGAAAATTTTATTAGTTAACCTATTAACTGATACAAATTATTGCCCTAAGGATTAACAAATTAATTAAATGTGAAAAAAAATCATCAATCTTGATATCTGAATCGATATCAATCGTTACGAAAATTTCTTTAATTATTCTAACCTAACCTAATCTAACCTAACCTAACTTAATCTAACTGAAATGCAAATCGATCTATATATTGACAAAAAATTTAATAGAATAACTAAACTTGAAAAAAATA